GTGTAGTGACTAAGAAAAATTTACACAAGAATGTTTAGTGAAATGGGATTGGGAAGAAACAAGGAGAGGGAGTAGACAGGAAGTGATATAAAACAGCCTGGTTTGCTGGTCTCTACACTTGTCTGAACACACCCTGTGCCTGATCAAGGAACTTGGTCCTATCCTCTTTACTAAATCTTTCCATAAATACAGTGGGTGGTGGTCTTTGCCACCAGGCACTGTGACAACAATGGGCATCCTGAAAAACAGAAACTGTGAGGGAGAACAAAGAAGGTGAGAGGCACAGCTCCAGCAGCTGGACTGAGACCTCAAGTCACAGGCACACGTGCATGGCTCCATTTGCCATGGAGCAGAAGGGGGTCTGTATCTTCTGCCAACCCACTGTGTGCAGGTCTGGGGTGCACTTCACTGGCAAACCTCAAGTTGTACCCATCAGCAAGCAGAAGCTGCTGGGTCTGAGCAGAAGTACCAAGTAGGCAGAGGAGCAGAGCTGGTACCTGAGGGCACCTGTGATTGTATGGGACCTGTCAGAGGAGTGTGTGAGTTCTGGATCTGTTAACTGTACAAAATGATGAGTAGGAGGCTTGTGAAGCACAGAAAAGGATTCAGGATCCAGTGGGAGTGGTGGATAGACAGAGAGGTGGGCTATGATTGTGTGCAGTAAGGCAGAGGTGCTACAGAGACACCTAATGTGTTATGTTTTACCACATACAGAACTGACATAACACCTCCAGTTGTACAGCACACTTACTCTGCATTAAAAAAAAAAAAAAAAAAAATTGAAAAAATTGGAACTGACACATTAAGAAATGCAGTTGCTAAATTGCAAACATGAAGAAGTTTTAAAACAAATTTGGGTTTTAATGAAATTAAGGTGCAAGAAATTCCACGTAAAGCTTGAATAAATTAGTAGAGAAAGCAGACTAGACAAAGCAGATAAATTCAGTAAAGTACTGGACATTTGAAGAATATTCAGCTGCTTTTTAGCAGCTGCCATTGAAATTTTGGAAAGGGTTTTTTGGCCAATTTTCAGGCTGTAAACCAATCTCTGTACTGTACTTCATCATTGACATCACAATTCCTGGGCAATTTATTGTATATTCATTCACAGTGGTACACCTAAACATTTCATGGATTATCAGCTTCCATTCCTGCTGACTAGGTGGTGAACTGGTGAGGCATTATTTGCCAGCTCTTCTGCAAACTTCTCTACTTGCCTAATTTCCTTTATAGACAATCAGTTCTTGGGCTCAAAAAAAAAGGTGTTTTCAGAATTCTGAAACCTAACTGATTTTCCTCAGATGAGTCTTACCATGGAAAACAACTTTACAGCTTTACCTCCCAAGCAGACAATGGACAAGTATACCCACAATAATAAATAAACAATGCAGATAATTCTGCTGAGTGTAGTACTTTTAGTGTGTGTAAGCTCCACACATCCAGACAATTTAGGCATGAAGCTTGAAAAAGCTTGAACAAATTTGAAGAGGCTCTTCTGCCAGCCCATGACCCTTTGGCAAAATATGAATGCATCCCAGGCAATGTTTGGTGATCTCTAGTGCAAAGACTCTGTATTTTCTTGCATCACTGTTAATATGAACAAACTGTACCAGTGACACAAGTTACCTTCTAGAGAATAAGTTCCTTTGCCAAGTGGTATTTTGATTACTACATTCTGGTTCCATAGGTAGCAGCGCAGGCTAACAACACTGCAAAAAACCCAGGTAGCACTGAGTGGCATTTGAGAAGCTGGCACTCGTGTTGAGGGAAAAGCAGTCTGTGTACATTCACAGGAGCCTGGGTATGGGATGTCTGCATAGTGACAAAGTTCCCAGCATGGCTGGGGTGTTTGCACAGCAGAAAAGTGCTTGGAAACATTAAGTCCCCAAGACAAAGAGAGGGCTGTCTTGTGTTGTACATCTTTTTGCCTTCCATTCCAGGGCAGGAGACTGATACTCAAGATGGTTGTTGCTTACAGCATTGCTGTTCCAGTACTTTTAATGGCCTTTGTCCATTTTATCCACTTAGGTGTGAGTTTATATCCTTGAAGCTGTACTGGCAAATAATTATTCAGTTTGCTGAAAAAGTCCAGCAAAAAACTTAATGTGCATTCCACATGCAACTGAGGTCCAAACCCACCACTGGAAGGTATCAGAGAACAGCCTTGCCTGCTACCAAGCTCTGGGATGGACCAAGTGAGTTTATACTTACAACATTCCACTATGTTAAAATCAGACATATGAAATGCCTTTCCTGGCATTCATATTTCCACCTGGCATGACCCAAAAAGCCAGGTGGAAAATCACAATAATATAATGTATGACTGCATGCAGCTGCATATCTACTGCAACGCAACTTGAAAAGACAGTGTCTTATTTTATTCTACTGCTAATGTGAACATAATCCGAATATCTGATTGATACCATTTCTTTAGAAAAGGTCACCTCCATACAGAGAATGTCTCCCTAACCAACTTTTCAGAGGCAGGTAAGAGGCCACCAGGAGGAGCTCTGGTTCCAAATCCCCTCTAGCAGAGAGCTGAAAACCAATATCTTAGCCAACATTTTAATCTCAGAGCTACCTTAGAGCAAAAAGGCTCTGCTCCATTTTTTCTTGGGAATCCAGAAGCAGTTCCTCCACTGGGTGTCCACAAGTAGAAAGCTGGACCTCTGATCTCCTGCTGGTACTATCCAGCTGCTGCTGGGTGGGGCAGCAGAGAGGACAATCAGTAATGACTGGTCTGGAAGGAAAAGTAGGGACTGGAACCACTAGTTTAGTTCACAGATATCAACCCAAGTCCATGTGACCCTCAAAACATTCTTTATTTGATTACTTTGCAGAAAAACTCCCAGGATGCAGCCTCTGTAGGCACACTATCCATCACAGTTTAAGTACATTTCTATTTCTCTGACAATCAGGCACTTGGAAACAGGCTACAAAATGAGTTACACCACCAGAACTGAATTATCCACAGTGCTACTTCAGGTCTCCGTTATTTTCGAAGTGTTTTATGACCATCTTTCCTCATGCCAACCTAAGAAAAACATTTACGGCTGTTTCACTCAACTCGGTTACCCCCACAGATATGAAGCTCAGGAGCCACCATGGAGGAGAAAGCAAAGAGAAAAGGCAGCCTGGGGCTGTTTTACACAGCAGCCTTGTAATGGAGAAAAGAAATGAAAACTCTGCTTCAACCACTTTCTCACAGTGCTTGCAGGGCTCTTTGGACCTGTGCCACAGGAAGGAGATGAACTTCTAAGGTCCCTTCCAAACCAAACCAAACCAAACCAAACCAAACCAAACCAAACCAAACCAAACCATTCTATGATCCTATCTGCCCAGTTTGTCCTGCAGTGCATTTTTAAAGTAACCTACATTTCATACAATCTGCTCCCTTCAGGTCACATTCAGGTCAAGGAAAATAAGGTCCAGTCCCAGCAGGTCTATGACCAGTGAAAGACCAACCAGAGGGACAGAGAGACGGGGGAGAATACATCATCAGCCTGGCTGCTGTGAAAGCTAAGGAAGACAGAATGCATTCAGGTACTCCAAGTCTTCCACTACTATGTGTAAGAAGGAATGCACAATGAGGTGGTGCTGTCTTCTACTCCAGCCCAGATATATTTAATTCCTCACAACGCTGCTGCTCACTGTGACACTTAGCCTCTCCTTTCTCTGCTTTCCTCAGCAAACAGAGGCTATGTTCAGGTTCAGCCTTTCTGGAAATGAACTGAAATTTGAGATCAAGGGAAGAAAAGCCTGTTAGGAAAGCTGGAACCTTTGTTGTTCCTCCTCTGACATTCTATAGAAAGCTACGAAAAAGAACTACTTTTTACAGTCAATGGAAAAAGCAGTGAAGTATGTGTAAAGGCATAGCGAAAGGAAACCTGAAGGTTTGTTGTCTCACTGGGGTAGATGATTACTATCTTTCCAAGTCACTAAGCTCCACACAGTGGCTCTAAGTTCACCCATGGGTGAAACTTAAGAAATCTTCCCAGGCAATGAAACCCTGCTAACAGATGGGGGTGAAATATTGCTCACAAATTGAGTTAAGTGTGATCACAAGAGAATGTCCTATACAAATACAGAAAATTCATCACCACTTCCAAGCTTCTTTACATTCAATACTCAACAACACATCTACTCCACAGAGACAGCAAACAATTAAGCAGAGACTTAAAACAATTTGGAAGGTCTGAGCAATGAACTTAGTAGAAAACTTGAAAGTATTTTCTAGAATTTAGTCTTAATTGTGAAAATCACCTCTTGAGAACTTATTTTGAGAGACTCCAACATTATGATTTGTTAAGTTCCCACAGAATTGTTTTGTTCTTAAATGTACATTAGTTTGCACTTATGAGACTTTCCTGGCCACTAGAGCTTGAGGGGTACCCATCTTAAATAGCACCAAACAGACAGCAGACACATTCTGTTCACAAGTGTTCACAGGTTTGTTCTACTGTAGGTGTTGCCATGAACCTTTATATGTAATCTGGAGCCCTAGCAAGCAAGAATTAAAAGCATTACCAGTAGAGACATAAAGTACCAACTCTCTTTCCCAGCTGTGCTCATATGATCAAAATATTCTGTTCTTAGAGACAAGTCAGTAGTATGTAAATCCTTTTACAAAGCACTGAAGGTGGAAAGTACTTTAATTGGGCTCAAACAGCTAAAAAACAGCTATGTTATAGCGGCATTATAATCTCCCCAAAGTATTATGGGATAACATGAAATCATTCTTCTGCAAAAGAAGGATAAATAACACTTTCATTAAAATATCTTCTCCTCTATTGGGAAGGTCAAACCAGTTAATAGAGTTAATGATCCAGACTCAGGAAAAGGAGGCAGTTTAAGAACACCCCAAAGAATAGGTGTCCCACTCATTGTCTACTATTTCTTTTTTGCATAAATTTCTTTTTTGCATAAGTTTCTTTTTTGATTTTTAAGGCAAGAGTCTTGTAGCTTGGGTCCTCCTGTGTTTCAATGAAGCATTATCTTACACAAAGTCAAAGTCAGTAGTGGAAGGAAGAGAGAATGGGAAATCTGGTGAGCACTGCTGGTGTCTGCGCGAGTGTGGCTGGACCGTCCATGGCCCCAGGGCTGGGGCTCGACCGTGATGTAGCCATTAATGATGCGGATCCGTGGAGGAGGATCAGTAGCACTGCAAGGCAAGAGAAGAACATCAGTCCTGACCCAGCCCACAGCTGCCCAACAAACACATAGCAGGAGGTGGTCAGCCGCTGTGACCCACTCTCAGTTTTCTGGGTGCGTGTGAATGGTCTCTTGTACAAGTTACACAGTGGCCAAAAGTCTGTGCCTCCTAAATGGCAGAGTTCTGTTTTGTCCCTTCCTCACGCATCTGGACAGCTCCCACACCAGCCCACAAGGATGAGGTGCTACCCAGCCAAACTGTGAAGTAGACTTGATGGGGAACAGTGAAGAGACAGAGGAGGGTGATGACAGCACCAAAATCCTGGCCCTGTCTCAAGTCTATCCAGCCTCCTCATTGCTCCCACAGAAGTGGGTAAGATGACCATATTCCTAACCTCTGTCAGCTAAGCAGGAAATAGATAAGAATAAAACAAGTGTTGTTGCAGAGGAGTGTCACTGCAGGAGCACTTGCTGAGCACAGCTGGAGTGACGCACTCCTGTTTTCTGAATACATCTTCCTCAGCCATGCTTCATGCACTGCAATTCATATGGACCCACCTTGTTTCCATACTGTATGATCTCTCCCACAGGTCAGGAATTACAAAGATTTACGTGACATACTTCTAGCAGAGGAAAAATGGTTTCCAGAAACACATCCTGGACCGCCACATTTCAGAGTATCTCCCAGTGGTAGAGAGTTCTCTGACATCGTGATGAACAAGAACTGGATTACAGCATACATAAGCTGAACTCCCATAAGGGCAACCCATGATGGAGGAGAGAAATTTGTATGCTCCAGGCTCCTAACACCAAATTACCTGAACTGGGGGAGATCACACACCACAGTAGGTCAAGAGTCAGAAGGGTCAGATACTACACAGGCTGTTCCTCTCTTTGGCAATGGACTGAAAGCAATGCTTGACACCACAGCTATGCGACTGACATACCCCCCCCCGGACCACATGGTGTTGTGTAGAACCTGAAGACAAATCTAAAACCAAAACTAAAAGCAAGACCACCTGGCAAATACAAAAATCAAGTAATTTCTTCTGCACCCAATCCCCACGTGCTGTGCACCATTCTTGTCTAATTTCAGTCCACTAAGCAAAGATGCTTAGTGGGAAATTAAAGGCAACTACTATCCATTTTAAAAACACTTTACTCTTCCTTACCCAAAGGGCTCCCCAGAAGATCTGAACAATAGCTGGAGAGAAGCCAGCTGGCAGCACATCAAGGAAATACAGCCAGCAGCTGATGCATACAGGAGCATGAAACAAAGCCATTCTGACAAGCCCACTACAACACTACTAAAGCACTTGAGCTGCACCTTTCACATTTTCAGGCTCACAGGAGGAATCATAGAATTATGTAGGTTGGAAAAGACCTTTAAGGTCATCAAGCCCATTTGTAAACCTGAAAGCTGTGAATGGCCCATTCGTAAGAAACCCGACAGCTTTACCTGTGTCTGCACACCCTGAGGAATGTTTAGAGCGTGAGACTCCCAGTCAGATGTGCCCTGCAGAGGCGAGGGGGAGCGCAGAGGCGCTGGATTTCCCTGGGAAGGGATGCGCCGCGAGGTGGGGCTGCCAGCCCAGCCCAGCCCAGCCCAGCCCAGCCCAGCCCAGCCCAGCCCAGCCCAGCCCAGCCCAGAGCGGCACGGGCGCTGCGGCAGAGCCCGGCAGACAGACAGCAGGACTTACAGAAACCCAGCGCACGGGTGGGGCTCCTGCCTGAGGGACAGCTGCCCTCCCTCGGCACTATCTCTCAGGCATCCTTCGTCTTTCCCAGCACTGCCATGCAACATCTCCATCTCCAGACGTTTAAGCTCCTCTCTGCTGCTAAGGAGTCGCCCCTACAAAGCGTTCGTCACCTAGCACCGGGGTAAGCTTCTAGCGCAAAGCTTAAAGGACAGCTTAAATAGTAGGGGAAGAAAGGAAACATAAAAAGAAGACAAGAAAAGCAGCATTTCCTGTTCTCATATTTATGCAGTAGTTTCCTAGGCTGCCATAATTTGTTTTGCTTTTACCTCACTACTTCAGTACTTCAAATCTAGTACGCAGCCCTAATGTGCCTTCAATCTGGTCATGGTAGCACATCTTCCCACCTTCCCTCTTCTTCTGAAGGCTTGATACTGCAAGTGCACAGGTGTCTTAAGAGTCACTGACCACTGACTTCCCTGAGCTTTGCAGGAGCAACTGCATGTGAAACACTGAACACAGCACTGTGGAAGCACGGCGGCAGATTAAGACAGACATTCCTTAGCATTTCAGCTAAACAGACTATCAACAGAAACCCCAAAAATCCATTCACAATCAGTTAGTATCAACGACATTAACAGAAAGTAAATGGCACATTAAGAGCCAAAATCAAGTGTGATCAGTATAGGATTTGTTATATTGGTGAGTTTTGGACTGTATGTGGGTTTGTCCGAGGACATGTTACATGAGCATCTGTCTCCCAAATACTTAATACTAAGGCTGAAGGGAGGAGCAAAGAAGGGAATGTGGTCTAAAAGATCTGACAATAGCTGAATGCCTCAAAGAGAACAGCTGCTGCAGTCACTTGCCGCCAGCCTGAGCCACGTATCAATCATAGCAGTGGTACAATTAGGATCCAGGGATGTGATAGGAAAGGCTAGGAGAACTGTGCTATACTCAGTAACCTGGGGAGCAGGAAGAAGTATTCTTCAGAGAGGAAAAAAACCCAAATAATGTACAGGCTTCATTTCAAGAACTGTCAGACTTTTTTCCATTACCCCCACCTGTCTGGTTGTTTATGGTATCACAAAAATTTAATGCCCTCAAGCTGAGTACGGCACAGATACAGACACACAAAGTCCAAAAGAAAGCAAATTTGGGCATGTGTGTTACCTACAGGAGGGAAACATTAAGGTATACATTCAGTCACAGGCCCTATTATAGGTAATGAGAGAAATTGGCTTTTCAAATTTTTTTTCTGGGTTGCTATAGTTCTGGTAAGTAAGCAAGCTTTTCTGGATGAAAAGTAAGGGATGCTTGTGAACATCTACCCCACAACACACTAATTTTTTAATATAAACTCTGCCATCCATTAGGCTGTCATGCTTTTTCAGACTGAAATAATACAGAGACTGAAAACGCTGCCTGACTATTGCCCAAGTGCAAGGAGAGCACATGCCAGGGTTGATAGTTTCCTCATACACAGCAGCTTTTGGTTAATGGTCCGAGGCTTTGATCTGTACCATCTACCACTGGACCCAGCCTTCTATGGAAGAGAGGACTGCCATAAGCCCACAATCCCCCAAACCCACATGCAGAATGATCTAGACAAGACTTCCATTTGTTTTATGCCTAGTTTTCCACAAATCTAACTATGCAAAGAAAAAAAATGAAAGCTTTTTTTTTTTTTGCCACTAAAAGCACAAGAAACCTTGTGCAAATGCTTCAGAAAGAATCACAGCAGTGGAGAAGGTGAGATCCTCTCCACAGGATATATCTACTCCTGCAGAAGATTGAGGGTCTGTATTAATCTAAGTTAAAGTCCAGTTTGACAAGCCATCCTCCCCCTACCCAGCCATTAGCTACCTTTCTTCAAGGCGAACCCAGAGGTCATTAAATTGTCGCAGTTTTTGCTTCTTCTGCTGCTTTTTCTTCTTCTTTTTGTACTTCCTGTCTACTTTCATGAGCACATCAATGCTGTCAGGGAATAGCAGGTGAGGCAGGAACTCTTCCTCCTCCTCTTCCTCCTCCTTCTGGGGGTGCACTGGGAGCTCATGGGACATGACATAGGGACTGTGTGATGATGAAAAGGCTAACAAGGTTTTGGGAGATTTTCGGCTGGAAGAAAGAGAGAACACAGTTAACATTTAAAAGGGCTTTGAGGCAAAATCCTGTATCAAGGCACATACATATAAAATAGAAGTTTCTCCCTGGATGCTCATTTCTCTGCTGTCTATTCCTGCTCCCTCTTTGTTAAGTCAACATTGATTTTATCATCAAAATAGTGCTCTTTAGTAAAAAGAGATCTTTGGAAAAGAGGCAGTCTGTGTCAGAGGAAAGAATGCAGTCTGGATAAGGGTGGAGTAGCTCTTGGTAATAAGCTTGCATATCTAGAAAGAGACAAAATCAGAATAACTTCTAAGTCAGAGTCAAACCACACTCCTCTAGTCTGATGTGCTGCAGAACACAGACCAGATTATTCCTTTCAACATTCCTGCCCAGAGCAAACTAACTTGGGGGACAAAGGGAAGAGGCAAACAAAACAACTAAAGCACACCAGCTGATGAAACCAGGTCTGGATCAGCACCTCACTGGTGTAGAAAGTAAGAAACAAGCTAGCCCACAGACTACGACCATGGCTACAGAAACACATCTTGAAAATTACTGCCTCTGAAGGGAAAGGCTTAGCATACCATTACCAGTAACCTGGTTGCCTGCTGGATCCAGAGATAGTTGAGGTTCTCAATGACCTCTATATCTCAATGTTCAATGGCAAGTGTTCCAGCCAAGCTGCCAAGTCAGGAACGGCAAATGGGAGTATGAAGGCCCTAAGCACAATGCAGGAGAGAATAGAGCTTGAGACCATCTAAAGAGCCTGAATGTGCACAAGTGCATGGGACCTCATGAGATTCATCTGTGGGTTCTAAGGAAGCTGGCAGATAAATTGCTAAGCCACTATTAATAATTTTTGAAAACTTGTGGCACTCAGGTAAAATTCCCAACACCTGGAAAAAGGGAAATGTAACCCTCATTTTTAAAAAGAAGAAAGTAAAAGTCTCACCTTTTGTGTGAGGCAAGATCATGGAGCAGATTGTCCTGAGCAGATTTTACCAAGGGCAAACAATGCCTGTTAAATTTGATTACCTTCTGTGACAGGGCTGCAGCATTGATGGATGTGGCAGAGCAGCTGCCATCATCTGCCTGGACTTAGGCAAAGTGTTTGACACTGTCCCACATGATATCCTTGTCTCCAAACTAGATAGACATAGATTTGATGGATTTGATGCCTGGTGGATAAAGAACTGGCTGGAAGGCCACACACAAACAATTGTGGTCAACAGCTCCTTGTCCACATGAAAAGCAGTGACGAGTGGTCTCCCTCCGGGGTCACGGCTGTTCAAGATCTTTGTCAGTGGCATGTACAGTGGGATCAAGGGCACCCTCAGAAAGTTTGGCACCAACACAAAGCTCTGCGGAGCAGCTAACACGCTGGAGGGAAGTGATATCACCCAGAAAGGCCTGGAGAGGATAGAGAGGTAGGTCTGTGCAAAGTCCATGGAGCTCAACACGGGAAAGTGCAGGGTCCTGTACCTGGGTTGTGGCAATCCCAGACACAGCTAGAGGTTGAGTGGAGAACTTACAGCAGCAGCCCTGAGGAGAAGGAATTTTGGGTGATGGTTGATGAAAACCTTAACATGACCAGCCATGAGCACCCACAGCCCAGAAAGGCAATGGGATCCTGGGCTGAATCCAGAGCAGCGTGGGCAGCAGGGCGAGGAAGGGGATTCTGCCCCTCTCTTCTGCTCTGGTGAGAGCCCACTCTCACCCGGCATCCAGCTGTGGGGTCCTCAGCATAAGAAGGACATGGAACTGTTGGAGCAAGTCCAGAGGAAGCCACAACACTGGTAAGAGGGCTGGAGCACCTCCCCTGTCAAGACAGACTGAGGAAGCTGGATCTGTTCATCCTGGAGAACAGAAGGTTGAGTAGAGACCTCATGGCAACTTCCCAGTGTCTGAAGGGTCCAGCTGGGAAGCTGGAGAGGGACTCTTTGTCAGGAATTGTAGTGACAGGAGTAACAGACACAAACTGAAGGAATGCATTTAGGCCAGGTATTGAGAAGAAATTCTTTACTATGAGGGTGGTGAAATACTGGAAGATGTTGCCCAGGGAGGTTGTGGTGCCCCAACCCTGGCACTTTTCAAACCCAGGTTGCATAAGACCTTGAGCAAGCTGTCTAGTGGGAGGTGCCCCTGCCCATGGCAGGGGGAATAGGAATAGATGATCTTTGAAGTCCTTTCCAATCCCTTAACAGTCTATGATTCTATGATTAAGGAATCCTTTGGGCCATCCAGTCTGCATCAACCGAAAGCAGATTAGTTTTGGCACCACCAAGTTCACCCTCTTCTCATTTTCTTCTTGATGAAGGCAGATAGCACAAAGCAGTGGATTCACAGCCTTTACAAAACATCACGTCAGAGGACGTGCCTGACTCATAAGAGACCAGAGCTCACCACCATTGTGGCATTGGCTTCTAGGGTTGAATGCAAAAGGGTGTAATGCTGTTTTGCCACTCAGGTAAAGCACACCAAGGAGCATGAAATGGTTGTCTTAGTGGGTTTTATGGACAAATATGGAGGTCCATATGAAGTGGAAGAAACTGAGAAATTGCATCTCTCTCATAAACAGAGCTGAGCTTTGCACACATTTATATAGCAAGTACCAAGGGAGTGGGAGTCAGGCCTTAGCCTTCCAGCTGCCCAGATCCTGTATTAGGCTGGTAGCATTATTAGGAATTTCAAAGAGCTCCAGAGAGATACGTCACTGAGACTATGGGCATGTACAGACTGTCTTACAAGGCAAATCTTGGAAACCCCAAGCTGAGCTCCCAGAAAAAGCTCTCAGGGCTATGACTACTCAGCTTCCTACAAAGATGATAAATTAAAAAAAAAAAAAACAACAATCAGCTTCACCCTGATTACTGAAGCTGTTTCTTTATTTTTAGAGCAAACAACATCTCATCTATACTCTAAGGCAGGCAGTCTGCAGTGTCATATTCACTCATGGCTTTGCTGGCCCACATTTCTCATTGTTTGGAACAATTTTCCCTTGTTACTTGTTTATGAGCATCTTGGACAAAACCACAAACTCAAACCACTCTGTGTACACACAGAACCTAGCAGGAATATCTAACTGATCTTTATGGCTACTTCATAAAGAGAAGAAATGCAACAGTCTTCTGTAATGAAAGTGCAGACTGGCTTGGGCTGAAATTCAGGAAAGTAACAAAACCACAGACCACTGAGTAGAAATCTGCCTTTAATCAATGAAACTTCCCCAGAGCTGTGTTCCTTTTTCAGCTTCCAATGACATGAAAAGGAGGTGGTCTGGAAGGAGAAATATTTCAGCATGGGTGCAGATTTCAAGCTAGCCCATGACTGTATGCACACTTATTGGATAGCAAATAGTTTCTAGTTCCTGGAGAAGGGGAAATGAAGTTGGGGACTAGAACATAGAGAGTAGATGTAAAACAAAGATAATTTGTCTTCGCTGCAAGGAAAATCAGAGTGATCACATGTTGAAGTTTATATGAGAGAGTCTATTGCAGAATGGACCTTGGTAATCAATCTCATTCAAAATCATTGTGGTGTCACACACTGTCACACTTTATCGCCCCTGAACTGTCATCACCCTTTAGCTCTCCTCATCAGCTGCTTCACATCATCCACTCTTTACTCCACCTTGCAGAGTGATGATCTCTCATTAGCTCTCTCCAGCAATCTGATTTATTCTGTTTCAAGGTCTTTTGCCCATGACTCCCTTTTCCACCATTCTCTTCACTGTTTTCATTCCTTAACCAAGTCACAGAGTGGGCAGCCTCCTGCCCCTGTAGATTAGAGTACGATGCTGCCTACAGCCTTCCCTTCTGAACCAATGGCCCCACCATGCTGGAGCTCAGCACTGCTACAGGTAGAAGACGACCTGCATCCTGCATGGTCAGACATTTATTCTGTCAGATGCAGTGTCAGACACTTCCATATACCAAACCTCCTTTGCAACGCCTCCTGCAGGCAATTATTTTAGAGACCACTGGAAAAGGCACACAGATTCAAAAGCCCATCCTTCTTCCCCTCAGGCCAATTTCCCATCACAGCAGCTAAGGGACAGTCAGCAAGCACCTTAATTATGGCTGCGATTGTGTTGAATATTTTACAAAATATAACTACATTCTAAAATCAGGAGCAACAGTTAAAGACCAAAGTGAGTCAACAGGAGCTTGACTGAACTTGTGGTACTATTTATAAACGATCCTTTGCAATACTGCCTGCTTGGAGCACCTCTTTTGCCTTCCCTGCCTGGGAGACACCAGGGAGGAGGAACCTTTCTGTCTCCAACTAGAGGCATCCACCCCATTTGCTCTGCAGATGGAAAGCACCCCTCAGGCAGCCCTGCCTGCTACAGGAAAAAGAGCATGACTATCCTTCATCCTTATTGGTTCCTACACCCAGAAATCTACAACATATCTCACAAGGAACTTTTTGTTTAGCCAGAGCACAGGAAGCAGCAGACTGTGCTGCTACAGGGAAATGTCATGTAGGAGGGAAAGAAGATGGCTGCAGCCTTCCTCCTCCTTGTATTTTAGAACCTCTCAATTAATATCCCTACTGTGTCTGACACCAGAGCAGTCATTTAAACTCTCTGTCTCAGTTCAACCACTTGCTTTTTTATCCTATCTCAATCATGAACAGTGAGATAGTCCACAGGTACCAACTGGACTGCATGCAGCACTACATGCCACAATAGCTGGATACAGCTCTACGTTCACATGATCAACGCTGGGTTTACTGTCACAGGCTGCTCTCTATTTGCTCCTAGAACAAGCCCAGGATAACAATCAAGTGAAATCTTCCTTCCAAGCCCTAGGAGTCTGAATATCTCTTGCCACAGGTCCTTTCCCTCACCTTAAATGCTCTTTTCCTTTGAACCACATTTTTCTTAAAATGCATTTAATATTTTTAAATCTGTTTCCAAGTTATACAGAAATGCTAACAGCAAAGTGCCATCTTGTTGCTCAGGTTTAATATTAAGACTCCAGGGAAGAAGTTCTGTCTAATAGTCCTAATAAGAGGTTTAAGATGCAACTGATGCCAGACTGAGGGCTTTCAAAGGCACAAGAGGCTGCACAATGAACTCCCATGATGTGGTTATGGAACTGAGTGCCCAGCTACTCCAAGTAACCTTGATACCCACCTTCCTGATAGGTGAAAATCTATCCCTTCTTTATTCAGCTGTCTGCCCTTACATCTTTACAGTGCAGTATCAGATCTTGTTTATTCTCAAGTATATAAGCTATATAAGTTATCTTTCTTTAAGCTTTAAGAAGCTGCTGAAGCTGTTTTAGGAATACCTAAGCTAAGAATGAAAAGACAGCATGAAAATATCAGTGTAGGCTGGTTTGGGTTTGAGGTCTTTTTTTGTTTGTTAGTTTTTATCACGCTTGTAAACACTGATACACTGGATTTTCTAGCACAACTCCAATGTCACAGAATCATGAAGTTTTGTGCTTAAGCACAGATGCTTCTTGTTGTCAGACCATGTGCCCACTGGCAGAAAGAGGGTTAGGGGCTGGCATTCATATAATCATGGGCTACGTCTTGAATCAATTTTTTTCAGTGCATGTAGAGTTAATGATGTATGTCCATATCAAGAATCATTGCAGAAACATGACCTGCCAGAATTTCAGTATCATGTTTTCAGACAACAGCTAAGGTGGTATAAAGAGAAAGATGAAGCAATCAGAGTATGAGAAAAACAGCTGTTACTAATTTGCACCACACCTGTAGAGCCCTTGACACAGACCAAGACTCAACTGTGCCCTCTGCACAAATCCTATCAAAAGGCAGTAGTCCTGCCTGAGAGTCCCACATCAGAAATGTGGGGGAGAGATGTAAAAAGGGACACTATGCCCAGCACAGAAGATAAAAGGGAAACAGTACCATAATTGAGACCAATTTCCAGTTTTCTCCTTTGTGGTTTTTTAGGAGTGAAGAGTGAGTATATCTGACAGCTACATCTCTGGTAAGAGTTTGGAGAAGGGGAAAGCAAAGATTGCAGACCCTAAGCTGGTGGCAATAATTCCAGGAAGAGGTGAGTCAAAGCACAAGTAATTCTCGGTAGAGAGTGGAGGAGGAGATTATCTGGCATTCTCTAGTTACTGAAACCATGGAGGTGGATAAAAGCATCCAGTGAGAGATAAAAAGAAGAAGGAAGGGTATATCCCAAAGGACAGCTGCAGGATGAACCAGAACAACAAGTACCCTAGCTTAAAAATGCAGAAGAAAACAGGGGACATGAGAGCAATCAGTCATAGAGACAGCTTGCAAAGACTCTGGGCAATGAGATTCCAGGCTGGAAGAGAGTAAACAGAAAGAATAAAAAATAGCAGTATAAAAGAAAGGGATTATTAAAAGGCAGGGCCGTCAAACCTATAAAAGAGAGGAAAGAGAAACCTGGGAACCTGTGTGATACGAGACAGCATCCAAATCTGATGAAGCAAGCATGCATATTCTGTGGCTGTTCACTTAACAGTTAAAAATGCACAAGGATGGAAATTTTATTAACAACAATAAGAACAACAAAACAAGACAAAAAAAAATACAAAAAACCCCAACAAACCAAAAAAAAAAAAAGACCGAAAAAACCCCAAACCCACAAAAAAAACCACCACAAAACCAACAACAAACCAAAGAGCCCCAACCCAACAATAAAAGCCAAAAAACAAATGAAACAAAAAAAACCCCAAACAACAACAACAAACTGAAACAAAACCAAATAAAATCCCCTTTCCAAACTAGCTCATAGAAGAGAAAAGCAAACTGCTGGGAAGGAGAGAAAAAGCCTAGCTGTCTCTTAGCTGTAATTCTATCTACCCTTCCTGTTTCATAATTGTTTACAAACCCACCCTGCCAATGGCTGCTCAGCTAGGTAAAAGCATGCATTACTTGTTGATGGCTTGTCCAGCTGGAGTGTGCTCTACCTCGTACCCTTCTCTCCTTAAAACATCAATCACTGTGTTGTTGCCCATGAAGTGACCTGCAGTTAAAAGAAAAATGACATCAGAACTCACCAACCACATGGAAAGAGGGAGAAGAATAACAAAGTCCTTCCTCATCACAGGAGATGTGCCACACTCAAGGCAGGCAAGGCTTTATCACTCTCCATCAACATGCACCAGAAACATGGGATCTCTAATGAGTGATTGCTGAACTTTCCCAAGGTCACTCCAATTACTACAGTCTGCCTTTCTAAAATGCAGATGTGATTGCAATTACTCTGGTCCCACAGGTTGTTGCATAATGGGCTGCCCACGGAGGTGGTGGAGTCACCATCCCTTGGAAGTGTTTAAAAAAAGACTGAATGTGTCACTTAGAGCCATGGTATAGTTGGCATGGTGGTGATTGGTCAAAGGCTGGACTTTATCATCTTAGGTGTCTTTTTCAACCTAACTGGCTCTGTGATTATCAGGCCATTGTGGATTACTTGAGGGAATAAGAGGTGAAGTTTGGACACCCTTGTTCAAGAGCAGCAGTGAGTCTACCACTGGTGGTGATGCAAAGGTCAGAATCTGGCTACATTTTAAGACTCTCCACTCTGAAACCCAATGACTTAGATCATCAAACCGATCGCCTTCTTCATTATATGCCACTGGGGCCAGAAGCTTGACCTCAGCCATGCTGATGAAAGGACTTAGTTTTAGAAGGACTTAGACAGTTCTGCCCTAATTCTGTGATTTACATCTCTTCTCCATTCTCAGGCAGCTGTTGTGGCTGGTAAGATTGTATTTTGGCATCATAGTGAATAAATGACTACTCAAAGACTGCAGGAGCTTTCCTGACTCTATGCTCTGCTCACAGAATATCTTCCACCATCACTCTAACCTGTCATCAGACCAGGCTGCTGAGAAGCAGAAGAAAGAGAGAACAAAGAGAGAACAAAGGCCTTGCACACTTCCTCATAGGTCCAGCTTTCATTAAACATTTCTTCATTTAACAGCCTACATAAATTAAAATTAGCCTTCAGCAAATTACTCATTGGAGTGATTCCTTGCTTCTGTAGATGCACACAGTGCTAAAACTGATAGCAAAGTTACAGCAAAGTAACTCCAGAAGAACTGTTTTCTGATAATACTGTTCATAAATACATGACAATAGAACCAGCAGAATTATTCCAGTAGCCAGGGAAAGCAAGAAGTTATAAACAGAATTCTGACAGTGCTGAGAATATCAGCAGACTAAACAGAAGGGATTCATGACTTTTCATTCCAAAAGAGGTTGAATGAATTGGAGTGCCAAAATTCCAGTTTCTCACACCACAACGGCAAACTGCTTATTATGTACCAGCTTAAGGCATGAGTTGGATGGTACCATTTGAGCACAAGATGGACTTTCCCCCAGAGCCTAAGAGCATAAACCAATCTAGCTCAAATGAAACCTTTTAACTGAACACTGCAATGCACACCCACTGGGTACCATATTTTCTCACAGAGTAATTGGATTTTGCCTCACCTCCTCAGATTAAATTTTGTCTTCAGAAGGAGCAAAGCTTATGCACCATTATGGTGACCTAAACTAATACTGATGGTATCTGATGTTTCCCAGTGGCTCAGCTCCAGGTCCACCTAAGCAAGAATTCCATCATGTCAGCAAAAAAGACCAGGGAACAAGAATGACTGTAATTGAGTAAAATTAGCTAATGTAAAACAAACACTAGGTATATAAGATGCCAGACCTAGTTTCCATCTCTCACCTTGAACACAGAGGAGAGGTATGTGCAAAGGGAAGGGGAGGGGGATTCATTCCTCCTTCTCTGTCTCCACACAGCAGAGGAAGGGGTGCTTCCAAAGGGTGATCCATTCCTTTCAAGTGACAGGGAGGTAGGACAACTTGGACTTGTAGAGAAATGCCTCTCAACTGACAAGGATAGGGGCAGTGTATATTCCAAGTTCAGATGAGGCATTCATCTCATGCAGGCAATGATGCATGAGCCAAATCTCATCTTCAGAAGTGAAAAGCAGTGCCAAGTCTCTGAACTCATATTTCCTAATCCCAATCTTTCAGGAGGAAAGGGACAAGACATAAAGACAAGCAATCTGTAAAGCAATGTATTGTCTTAAAATAATTTTCCTCAAGCCAGTTTAAGAGCTGACAGTTACATGGATTTCATGTGTGAGTGAGCTACTGAATAGCTGCTGATGCCACACCATTAAACATACTACTGCTCCATCAATCTTCAGTCATCCTTGCACAGAGCAGTGATTTAGAGTAGAATGTAGGAAATCACTGTAGCACATGAATGAATCCCATTTCAATCAGTCAACCTGCTTGAGTGATTTTCTATAGCTGGGCTCTTTATTTTTAATTTAATTTAATGCAGTGATAAGAATATATTTTTTATCACAGTTATCTGTACATACTTTCACTGAGTGCCCTTGCTCTTTGTTGCCAAGGCAACAATGTCTGCATGTGAGAGAAAAGTGATGGGCTAATATTGTGCAAAAGAGAACAGACCAATTGAATAAATATGTATAAAAGAGATGCATACAAATACAAAGAGCCATGGGATATTATATTGTTCACAACACATGATCAATCAGGAGCCACTCAGACTAGGAACATAAAGGGTTGAGTGATGCAATATTCACTATCCAAAAGGTGGGTCATATGCTCTTCCTGAGACAGAGCTTGTTTGTGGCCCAGAGGATCTACAGGTTCAACTGAATGAGATGCAAAATTTAAAAAGTGGCAGAAGGGTGAGGATTTGAGGTACAGGACCCCATCAGGAGCCTCTCTAGAGTCAGAACTTTTGAGTCACTACTGGGGACCACCACAAAAAACACTCAGTGGTGTATGGGAGATCAGATTGGTAAAAAAAACCCCAAAAAACTGTAAGAAACACAAGAAAGAGTCACTCCCCAAGGTTTAAGATGAAGCATCTATTGCTGCAAGGGAAACTTAGATGGCAATTCATGTGACAGGGTGCAGGCCTATTTCACCTGTTTTCTATTTTAGCGTAACACACTTGAATGCTCCCCAAATGAAAGGCCCTGGGCTCTGTCCTATCAGAAAGCCTGCTCTTCTCTTTCTGTACATAGCCCTGCATTATCCTCACACCACTAGGTGAAGAGATGCCTCCAAGAGGTCAGCTTACTCAGGCAGAGGGTGGGGAGTCATGAATCTTTATTCTTCTGTGTTCAAGCTCAAAGAGAAACTAAGAAGCTGTTGTGTGGACCAGCTCAGCCATGCACTCTACTGGAGAGTAAACAAGACCCAGGCCTTTAATCTGCACTGAAAGGAGATGGCATGCAGGGACCACAACAGGCAATATGCTCAAAGAACAACACAGCTTGACCAATGTGCACTTGCAGACTTCACCAGGCATTGTGTGCTTCTGACCTTCCTCAGCAGCCATACCCAACCGTGCAGAACACGGGCTCCTATCACTGCCCTGAAACCTGTGCCTCCTGCTTGCAGCTTTTACTGTCAGCCCTCGCAGAGATGCTTCTATAACCGTGCCTGTTTAGGTGAGTTTTATCTAGATGACTGTGGGTTTCAGCAGAGATTGTTGAACCCAAATTTGAGCCATTTTGAGTCTGAAATATTTCTGCATCCAGCAAAAGGAACTAGGAAATATTGCAAGACAAAGGTTCTGTTTCTGTTAATAAATTTTAATTTTTCACTGAAACCAAGTCTGTAAGACTCATGAAAACTATACTCCTCTCCGAATTTCAATAAAATTGACTATTCCAAGCAGATAAATGAAGTTCTTTGACCTCTTACAGTCATGTAAAAGGAATCCCCCAAGTATACATAATTCTGTGTTTTCTTTAGTAGAAAGATAGCACTTCCCATCTGCCCCAAAAGCATGTCAAGACCTCACCGTTTACAAACATCCCAAGACAATGAATCACTGGACATACATGTGAAGACACCAAACTGTTTGTCAGGAAACCTGATCTTGACTGTTGACTTCCAAGACATTGTGGGAACAGCTAAAGCACAGAATTATAGCACGGCAATCACAGAACAGCACAAATTAGTCCAGCCACTAGGGACATCATAGAGCTGGATGTTTATTTGGACTACAAGCACTTGAATGGACTTTTGTTGCCAAAGACTCTATGCATCACTGAAACAAATACTTTCAAGAAAGTTTCAGAGTTATGGATCTTACAATTATTTAGAAGCTTCCTGGAAATGCCTATAGCAATTATCATCCGCATTCATTCTTCATAACTTTGCCTTTAACATAAACACAGTTATATTTTTTAAGTAGACACTGGGATGCAGAACTTGGAGTAATTTTAACTCAGCTAGTACAATTATGGAGGAAAATATTTATTATGATCCCAAGCAAAAGCTGGAAAGCATGTGATATGATCAATTAAATTACAAATCAGTTTCCTTCATACATATGCTTTCTGCACACACTTTTCAAGAGGAAGACACTGTTTTCAAGCATGAGTACTATACACAGCTCACACTTCTCCAAGAACCAGGAGGAAGAAATTTTGCACAGTTACATCAGACAATCCAAGCAACATATGGAAACAGAGATCAGTCATAAGTGGCTGGAATTCCAAATCTGCCATTTAAATGTACCAAATGCAAAACATGTAATACTATATCCAGTAATTTCTTGCTTCTCACGGTATTTCCAAGTCCAGAAGAGTCCAGGTACCAGAACAGAAACCAAAGGACAAAGAGTATGGTGGTCTCACAAATTTAATACTGCAGGGAGAAGGAAATAACAAAGATTGAAAGGGATGAGGTAGCTAGTAAAGGGATGACCAGTGATGCTGTAAGTCAACTTAAAGAATCCCTGAATTCACATTAGGTGTAGGAGTATAAGGATGCCGCATTAAAACACTTCTGGAGGCTTGCAGGTCAAATCCCATACAAACAGCCCTCCCATGCCCTTCAGTATTTTTCAAACTCCAAACAAAATCCTTCCTTTGATTACCTATAAGATGAAATATTAACGAAATACTACTCCATAAACTTCGAAACAAGTTTTTATCCTACTGAGACCATGAT